CCCTGTGCAGCTGAAGTGCAAGACGACTACGACTACCTGACGGTGGGATAGGTGAGTTTTTTATTGTATCATCCATAACTCAGGTCAGAGCCAGCAATATGTAGTCCATAACTGAATGAGTCCCTAAAACTGAAGCCCAGAAACATAGGTCCCTTCTACGTGTTTCCTTCAGTATTTTGAAGCTGAGCCCGTAGCTGCAAAACAGATGACTTTTTAAAGACAGAATGATGTTTTTCATCAGCATCCAGAGCGCTGCATACTGCCGGCAAAGCCATGGCTTGCCCCTTTCAGTGCCTCGTACTCATGCCAGGTGACACCAGACATGATCTTACAGCAGGTGCGGCAGGAGGTACAGCATGAAGGGAACAGCTTCATGGCGCTCTGGCAGCGAGCACGCTTGACTCGCCAAGCCAGCCTGATGATGAGAAGAGGGGCAATGGTCCCCTTAGCTCTCTTGGTAGATCGGCCTCTGAACTGCCCCTGCCTTAGACTTAATGCAGGGGCTCCCCAGAACCACTTAGTCTGGGGAACACTGGAAGTTTCCTCTCGCTTGGAATGGATCAATAATAACGGAATGCTTTTTAGCAAGAAATGGCGTAGCTCCGTCAAAAGCTGTTGGACTGCACAGGATTTACAGGTGACATTGTCAGCTGACAACAGTGCCCAGCCTTACTGCTGCTCTACAGCTCTTTTCATGCATGCTTTTATCTCCCCCTCCAGCTGTCACTCAACGCCTGCCTTGTCACGCTTCCAGCCCCACACTGACCTACAGTATTCACTCTTTCTTCCCCAAATTACGATGCTCTGGCTCTGAAGAGAGGTAAGGAGCACAATCCACCCAGCAGCACAGTTCTCTCCTCCCCGTGGCGCAAGTTTCTTTCACGCACAGCTGTGGGTCTGCTAGCACTACTGCTGCCTCCACAATTCAATCAGTAATTGGGAACTGCAGTTCTACGCAGGAATTCTGGCTTTGTAGATGCTATTAAATCTGTTCCTCTTTAAATGCTCACCTGTTACAAGTTTGTGATGCTGCATACCTCTCTTCTTTCAATACCACACCGTGCATTCAAAAGGAAGATGCTCTGCACAGCGTATATCCTGAATCTGTCAAGCCACACGACAGTCAGTATTTCTGACACAGCTGTGCCAAACGCTTTCCTTTGGCAAGTGCCTTTGCAGCCATTAAAAAAAAAAAAAAAAAAGCAAACAACATCACACCAAAAATTTTGTCTTTCTACAAATCTAAATGAAATCTGCATTTTTTTCTGACCACAAGTGAAGATACATTGTTCTTTGCCACTCTATCAAATTTTCTAGCTTGTTTTTGAACAATATGATTACTTCATTAGAAGGTGGCAGAGAGCACTTTACAGTCTACAGTCACAGAAGAGCAGTGGCAGTTGCAGCGATAAATGCTTTGTCCCAGGATATACAAAGCTTGTAAATACCCCCCAGCCAAGGCTCACCCTTAGGCCACTGTCATCTCGCCTGAGCACTCCCCTTAGCCTGGGCCAGTCCAGCAGGGTCACGCAGCACCTGGCTTTTCCACGCAGAGGTTTACACAGGGACTCAGAACTGACACTGGGCCTTCAGTAAGGAAGAATCGCATACAAACACGTCAGTAAAAACTACGCTTGCATGGGAGAGTAAAATTGCATGACTGGCCTAAACTTTTTGAGACTGAAATTGTGTGCTGCTTTGGGCAACTGTTTTTGGGTTTTTTTAATTATTATTTTAAACATACTGGAGACTGTGTGCAGCATCTTTTATCTAAGGACAACTTGGCATATTAGTTTTGACTTATGAGATACAGAGATACCCAAGGTACCATAAATAAACACCAGTGCCCAAAGTTCACTTTCACAGAAGCCTAACATTTTGGGAGAGAAGTGTACTACTATTTATCTCTTACACTGAAAACTGAGTGGACGAAACACACCAAATGCACACTCAGAAAGACTGCATCCTTCTTGTCTGTGTCTCTCCCTTTAACCTGCTCCCTGCTCGGCACTCGCAGGGTTCACAAGAAGGCCACACATCACATTCCTCTTTTCGTCTTTCATAACCAAGGCTTATCATGTCTCTTCACATCCCCTGCAGTTTTAGCATTATCTATTAATGGCTTAGCAGCTGAGTAATACCAACCATCACAAGCTTGACCTGGCTTTTCACTACGCCTAAATCTATGTTTTTTTTGTTCAGTGGCTGATGAGATATTATAGTACATCATAAGCAGTTCCGGTTGTTAATTTGCTAAGAATTCATGGCAGTTAGTGCACTGATAGGAGAAGGCTTTGATCTCACTGTTTGTGCTAGGTTTAGACACATTTCAGCTCACATACAGATTACCTCAGGGTGAACGTGTTGGCAAACTATGGCTTTATATTCTTTAAGTGATAATGCTTTGTTCTGTGCTCAATAATTATGAGCATTAAGTGCCCTTCGCTAGCATGGCCAGCCTGACATTACAAGTCATGAGTGTCTCCAGCAAAACGCCTATATTCAGCTCTGAATGCACAGGGGGAAATTCTGCTGAAGCATTGTCCCAGCTGGTGAGGAGAAGCCAAAGGGTCATACAAGAGTCCCAGCAGGCAGCCTTCCACTGCCTATCGAGATGACACTGGAACTGTTAAGACCAGAGCCTGGAAGTTAATCAGTAGACTGTCCTTTCTGGTAAAAACACGTTCGTGATGAATATTCAGCAACATTTCCTCCAAAGATGACCACCTTTCGTGTGACTGTTTCAGAAGCAATGGTTAATTTTTACATGTGACAAGCATCTTGTTCCTAACATTTCTAATACAACAAAGCATGTAGGTACTACCTGTCTGACATGAACACTGACCTGAACTATGGGAGCAGTTTACCAGGGATCTGCTCAATTTTAAGATCCCTGGATGCTTTAAATTGAGGATAGGCTTTCTGAAAGATTCTCTCCAGCTCCACCACAAACTGTAACTTACCTGCATCACCCTTGGCACACCAGTCCCCACCGTCATCCTGCACAGAGGAACACATCCACACAGCCTACCAGGCAAAAGTGGTATAAACATGTTGGTGAAGAGCTAGCGAATCCTGCCCCACAGCTCTTCCTCAGAAAAGAAAAACTCCTCACCGAGTCATTATGGGAGAGGCTGGAAGAGGCTGGTGTCCTGGGCAGCTGCAGGTTTGTTTGGAAGAGAGCAGAGGGCCTGAGAGTAGGGTGCTCTGTGTCCTACCCTTGATTCTTATTTGTGAGAAGGGACATTAAATTCCTAATGTACCTTAAATCAAGGGAAAAGGTAGCAAGTAACAGCAGCCTGGGAAACACTGTGCAAGAAGAATTCACCACAAACTAAAGGATGGGTCCAAACACAGCAGCACTAATATAGAGATTTTATTTCGACTGTATTGAGTTGTACAGCACATTTTGTTTGTCACAATGCTATCGAACTGATTTTAGAGTTTTTGGCCAGCACATTGTGACACGGAAACTCACAAGAGCTAAAAGCAGTTTGGACTAATGGCCTGAACAGAAGGGCCAGGAGTACCTAGTTTCTGGCTTCCTTATTGCTTGCAGTCATTCCAACATGTGCAGAACAGGAGCAAATCCAGTTTCTTCTGCCAGCCCAATGGTCACTCTTCCATGTCTGGCCATGACTGCAAGGTACAAGGCAGGGGAGAATTTGAAGCACGGTGCCTTCTCTTTCCCAAAGCCATATTGGTTGTTCCCAGTACGGAAAAGAAGCAGAGTCCAAGTAAGTACAGGGTCTTCAGATGATGCTAGCTTTGCTTGCACTATTGGGATTTACAAAACCAGAGGCTGACATATCAAAGTGCAGGAAAGGGTCATTATTCCATTCCCTCCAACGGAGATGACAAACTATTAGCAAAAAATCCAGGAGATCACAACAGTGTGAAGTACTTTGCCTTGTCAGCAGACCAAATGTCCTCACAGGTCCTATCCCCCACCCCCACATGAAGTCTCAGCTCATGAGGTGCAGAATGTATCAGACATTTTCATTTAGCTGGAAAGAAAACCTGCATTTCTGTGAAGAAATGCCTCACTTTCAAGCTCTTCTTCCTCATTAATATCCTCAGATTTCTTAGAAAGGAGGCAAGATGGATACTCCCCGAGGGATCTAGGGATTAAAAGCCCACCAGAAGCCCACTTTCCTTCTAAACCTTTTCTTTCTTTCTTTCCAAACCCAGTTCCTTTTCCTTAGAATGAGTTGGGATACTTGCTCTCTAGTTTAAAGAAGAAGTGGAGAGGCAATTACAAGTTGGCAACTCTGAACTTTGACCACTGTACAGGAGACAAAAAAGAAGTCAAATTCAAGAGGCATTTTAGGTAGCGCTGGGGCAAGTCAGAGAGATTGTTTCCACCACTGAACAGATGCCACACGTCATGTTTATCACTGTAGCTTGGCTGTACATCCTAAAGTGAAAAGCACAGACTGTAGTGTCTATGTCAGCCAGTGTCCTTCCCCGCCCCCGTTTTGGTATTAATGCTTCATTCTCCCTCCTTCGGGTTACATTAAGTGCACAGAAATATATAGCAGCATTTGGACTGAAACCCTCACATACACCAGACAGCACATTCCAGGAGGTAAAACAACACGTTATGGCCTATACCCTCAAGGTATCAAGTTTTCAGGATAAAGAGCAGTAGGAAGTGGAGAGCTGAGGGCAGGAAAGGGGAGGAGGAGCAACACAGGAACACGAGTTCTGTTTCCATGCCAGGAGAGGATCAGGGTGCCATTCCTGTGTTAGCACCAGGCTGTGACATGACCGCAGACAAAGCAGACGGGCAGAGCAGAAGTGAAAAAGCCAATCTCCCATCTCCCCGCAGTGTTGGGGGGCAGGGGCAAAGTCAATTGCGTTCACCAATCCTAGCGGAGCGTGAAAACGGGCAAAATCTGCTCGGCCCATTTTCAGCCAGAATGAATTTCTCTTCAACGCACAAGAGAAAATCAATTAGTGACGGCTAATGAGTCTTGTTCACCAAGCTGATCGCAAATCACACTCATGGAAAGAGAATCTACGGAACTGCTCCAGGCTGAGGCCCTTCCAAAGCACATGGTACCACCTGGAGCCTGCCCTCTTCCTTCTTGTACAGCAGCCTACCTTTGTAGGGGGGGTTGGTTCTAAACATGCCTTTCTATTGCTTTGGGGGTACTTTGCACAGGCAATATCTGTGAAAACATTGCTTTCCAGCCCACAAAAGAAAAAGGTTGCAATCCCCTCTTTAGCCCTAGGTCATCAGACTACAATGTACGGGCCCACCGGTACCAGAGTGGGGACACACACCATACTCTCTAATCTGAGCTCCTCTGCTCCAGACTGATAGTAAGACTGCTGAAGACAGTGCATTCAAGCTTGGTGTTCAAGTGTTGCACCAACGGCCTTCACAATTACAGTGGAGGCAGAGTCACCCTTCAAACCCGTGAGAGAAAAGGCTGGGCTTAGACAGGTCCCTTGTCTGGCATTCAGCTGGAAGCTGTGGCGATGGGTTTCTTCAGATGTTGGCTCATGAGCTCCCTGGCACGAGACACTTGGATGTGGTCATAACAGGAGTTACAAACGAGGACAGGATCGTACAACTGCTGATCAGGGATGGGCAACTTCAGATGGCAGCAACCAGCACAAAACACGTTCCCACAGTTCCTGTCAAGGAGCAAGAAAACCAGTGAAAAGAGAGCTGGGAACACCACAGAAAATCTTCGGCAAGCACAAAGGATCCAGTTCAGGGGCGAAGTACCAGCCTCACTTATGACTTGTCAACGTGTTTCTTAAAGTGGATACTGTGGTCTCCAGGGCAAGCTAACTGGCTAGCACTAAAAAGGGACTAATAGGCATTACTACCCAGGAGAAGGATCAAAGGCCTTGGAAAACCAGAAAAAAGAACAATGTAGAATGGAAATCTGCAAGGAATTTATAAGGCCTGGCAAATAAAAGACAGACCTAAAACTTTCTCCTGGGAGCTGGAGAGAACAAACGAACGTTGTAGACAAGCATTTTGTGAGGTTCGTGAGAAACAGGCTGAGAAGAGTGGAACTACAATGATAATATTGTTTACCTGCAGTGATGCCTCCGTTTGGCCAGCCAGAATTCACAATCGCAGTTAAAACAATGCGAGGCCATGTGGTCTGGAACCCACCGTGTGACCTAGGGCAAATACCAGTCCTCATCAGCTTTCCGTTTGTAACACCACACAGACCAGGCCTCAGGACCCCAGCGCAGGCTTTGGGCCACAACAGGCTAGCCTAGAGCGAGCCCATCCTACAGGTCCCCTTCTACCCGGCACTGCAGCAGCAAAGGATGCAGAGGATGCATCAGAGGACACGGGTAGCTGCTCTCTGCCTTGCTTCCAGCCCGCTCTCTGCTGCTGTAACCACCAAAGTTAGCTGCCAGGAAAGAAACATTCTCTCCTGCTGCTGTAACAGGACACATACCTCAGTCTCCTTCTTATCCACAGGCTCCCAGCTCGCTTCTGACAAACAGTCTTCACTATGATCGGAACAGAAATCCTCAGTGTCGCTGCCATCCGATTCCTTCAGACATGTCTGCAAAAAGAGACGAAGTCACAAATCCCCTCAGCTGCCTCAATCGCAGAGTCAAGGGCATTCCCTGCTCGGCCACACTCAGTGCTTGTGAGGGGCACGTGGGTGGCTCCACAGCTCCCCATACAAGGAGGTATAGCATTCATGACCGTGTAGGAGCCATTGCTTGGCCCTCAGGAAGCAGAGAGACCTCTGGGTGGCATGAGGACACAGCACATGGACAGGAGGGGAACAGGGCTGAGGAAACATAGGAACAATCTTAACCATCCACTCCAAAAGTAAGAGAGTGAGAACTGTGGGTTGGAGAGGGCAGTGTGACCGGGGGGTGCAGGGACCACTGCTGGCCAGGAGCTGCACTGCCGGAGTTGGGGTGTTAGAGGCAGTTACTTACAAAGTCATCCTCGTAGTCCATCGGAGGCTCGGCCGGAGGGGCGCAGAAGTGGCGGATGTCCAGGCGCAGCTGCAGCTCTCGCACCTGCCTGCGTAGCTGCTCCACCTCCTTGTAGCTGGCCTCGATCTGCCGTAGCCTGTGCTGAATCACATCCGTGGGGAAGGGGAGCCCGTCATCGTCCAGGTAGAGAGGAGGCACAGGAGAAGGACATTTTGGCGGCACGTGCTTGGGACCAGACACTTG